ATGTTTTTTGTTTACTGCGGTAAGTTGTTCGATACTAGACTGTCAGTAAATTGAAATACGAGAGCGAATGAGAACGCGCGCGGGGGCTGTTTTTTGAAACTGCTACATCCAGTCTGTAAAAATAACGGGCGCTGTACGTCAACAGTTTGTGGTGTGTGCATGCAGTCACAGCACGATTCCCTATTTGATTTGTATGTTTTGTTGTCGCGCGATTTCAGTACCGATCTGACCGTTAGAAGGAAGAAAAAATAAACTGTTATCTTCCCTTATGTGGTTCTGAAAAGCTCTCAGTTGGTTCCTTAAATGCGTAAAGGAATCCACGGAGCAGGTACATATCTGCATTTTCCACGACTAGTGAAATTAGAAGCGTACAAAAGTGCAGCAAGAAAAGACATCTAAAAAGGAGGGATGGTCAAGTATGACAATGAATCCTTTCTTGGCAGGCGTGAGCAAGGTTGCTAGAAAATATTTCCAGTGAACCTTTTTTAAAGGATCTTCACCTATATCTGCTCAGCGGATTGCCCATAAGATCCTTCTGTCCTCTGCTGCATATTCCATTTTGCGGTAAATTGATGTGGACACTTCGATGCAAACAACCTATTGGGAACTATTTCGTGTATGGCTAAGCTCATCAGCCAGGGGCGATCGATTTGCATTTTTCTTCATCAAGCATTTTAGGGCTTTTTCTCCTAAAAATAAATGGCCACCAAAGTGATATTTTCGTTTTGATAATGGTTTATTTACTGAAACCTAGCGTCAGTTTTAACTCTCATATAGGAAAGACTTAAAAGTTCAAGTGGATGAAAGTATGTAAAAACAAGCAGCACAACAGCTGAAGCTCATCGACAAGTTTACACTTTTCTAACAAAGGTGTGTATAACGGGCCTTCGATCACTGGCCAAATGCTTTTTTTTCTGGAAGTCCTGGTGGGAGTTGTCGAGGAGAAGGGACGGTAGAAATCTACTTTGCCTCACAGAAATTGTTTAAATAATGTAATATTTTCGCAACAAAAAGCGCGACATAAATGAAAAGTGAAATTTACTTACTTATATTTCTTAATTTTTATGTTCAGTTTTAGTTTCGTTTTTAGTTTATTATTATGTTTTATTAGTTTCATGATGGTTTTAGATTTCTTTTTTGTTTACTTAATTTATTTTATTGTAGATAACTTTTGCCTAGTTAGATTATTTAGGTTTTGGTTTACTTTTCAGTTTAGTTTTAGATTTATTAGCCACACGCGGTTGCTTTTCGAGTTAAAATCTTTACTAATTTACTTTACCTTAGTTTAATTAATTTGGTTTATCTAACCTGTTTGTATTTTAGTTCTGCTTTTAATTTAGTTTCCAGTTCATTTTTATGTTGCAATACTTTTATTTTACTTTAAGATTACTTTTTAGTAAAGTCAGTTTAGCTTATTTCATCTTACCTTTTTGGACTGTCTATACGGGCCACTTTTGTCTTTGGCTTATAACAAAAAAGTACTTTCACATTGTCAGTAGCCCGACTTTCCAACGGTTTTTCTTCTTTATCGCCGGCGACAAATGCTTTTTTTTTTCTGGAAGTCCTGGTGGGTATTGTCGAGGAGAAGGGACAGTAACTTGTGGGCAAGCCTGTGCGTATCGCTAG